ATATATATATATATATATATATACACACACACACACACACACATAACTAAAGTTATATGTAATATATAAAGTTATATATATACTTTATATATCTATAGCAATATCTTTGATACGCAACAGCAGTGATCTTGCAGATCAGTAGTAAAGAAGGGACTATGCATTGGCTAAACACATGAAAAAAAAACCCAGAACTGGATTCCTGTCTTCTGTTATATACAAAATCAATCCCAAGTAAATTCAAATTATAAATGTCAAATGCAAAACTTTAAAATTTTTGGAAGAAAAAGGTGGTGAATGTCTTTCTGACCTTGGTATAAGGAAGGATTTTTTTTTAAATATTTTTTTATTTATTCACTTTAGAGAGATAGAGAGCACGAGAGCATGAGCAGGGGGACAGACAGAAGGAGAGGGAGAAGCAGATGTCCCACTGAGCAAGGAGCCCGATGCGGGGCTCAATCTCAGGATCCCAGGATCATGACCGAGTGGAAGGCACACGCTCAACCAACTGAGCCACCTAGGAGAAGGAAGGATTTTTATGCAAGGCACAATGAATGCTTAATATGAAGGAAAAGGTGGGAAAATTAGACATTAAAATTAAGAACTTTTATTTATCAAATACACACAAAGTGAAAAGACAAGCCATAAACTTGAAGGTGATATTCGTAATACATATAAGTGACAAAGTGTAATATCTAGAAATAGAAACTTATATAGAAACATAAAAGCACTTAGAATCTAATAAAAATAAGGCAAAAAAACCCAAAAGAAAAAATGGGCAAAAGAAAAGGAGATCCATACAGATAATAAACATTTAAAGAGATATTCAGCCTCGATAGGAATCATGAAAATGCAAAGCAAAACCAAAAATAAGACTTTATATCATTTCATTGTTGAAAATTAAGATGTGTCAGAAAAGATATGAATCTGATCAAAGTGTAAATCGTTATTACAACAGCTTTGGAAAATAATTTTTGTCTTGTAATATTGAACATTTGATCCAGAAATGGCAGTCCTACACGTGTATCACAGAGAAATCCTCACCTATGTCCATCAAGGGACATTCAGAAAAATATTCATAGCACCATCTTTATAAGAGAAAACAAAACAAAACAAAACAAATGGAGTTACATAGTGTTGTGTATTTATGTAATAGGATGCCATGAATCCTAGTGGAGGACTCCTTGTTCCATAATGTTAAAAAAAAAAAAAAAAGCAAGTCCCTTTGTAAGTGATATCCTTTGAAAAAAAAAAAACGAAACCCGACCAAACAAGGAAAACTGAAAAAAAAATATTTTTCGGATATATGCATGTGTGTGATATAACTAGAAGAAAAGAAAGCCAGGACATGATGACACGAATTCAAGGAAGTGGTCGCCCCTAGAGCAAGGAGTGGGGGACAGGCTGGGGACGGAGTGTGCAGGCACATGTAAGTTCCCAGTAACATTTGGTTCTTGTGCTCATAAGTGGGCTCATGGGTATTCATTTTCATTGTATTATTAAATACATAATAAAATCAATATACTATTTATAAGACATGAAACCTCATGGAAGGCTTAATTGAAAACCTAAAGATAAAACCAACAAACCTAAACAGAAAATCTTACCTAAAACATAAGGCCATAAATTCAATGTTAAGGTGAATGGTCAGGGCGTCAAAGTGCATTGTACGCAGTAGGAGTGAGAAGTTCTTCATGAAACTTATCTCTGCTTATGTGCATAAATATGTAGGTACGGATTCACGATATAAAATATATTTCTTATTTTGAGTGTTGTTAAAAAATGGTTTGACAGCCAGTACCCTAAACAATCTCTTGTGAAAGCATAGCAGCAGATAGGTACCTAAAAGTTCCTACCAGCGTTGTTAGCAGCACAAAAACAAAAGTACACATGTGTACACCCATAACAGAATGGAGACATAATCACATGCTGGGATACTAGACAGCAGTGAACAATAAATGACGCTACATGTGTCAAAATCGCACAATCCCCCAACATTGGGGAGGGGAGGGAAAAGCAAGTCATAGAAACAGTGTAATTCTATTTTTATAAAGTTTAAAGTTAGCCAGAACTAAACATTTGCTTAGGGATTCATATGCACATAATAATAAAGAACATGCTTCATACAAAACCCCAGGATCATGGCTACTTTGGAGACTGGATGGGGTTAGGGACAGAGGATGCTGTGATTAGGAAGAGTCCCACATGGGGCTACCAGATAGGTCTTCCTCATAGTATACCAAGGTGGTGGTCTGCTTGAGCACCTTCTGTGGCTCCCTATTTCTCACTCCATATGCCCAAACTCCTTGGCTTCACACATTTCCTCCACCTGAAGGACACTTCCTTCCTTCTCCTCCTTCCTTCAAGGTCCATTCCAGCCCAGAGACCTCCACTCTCCCATCCAGGCTGACAGAACTGCCCCTTCCAGCCTCTGTCAGAACTCTGCAATTATAATAAGGTGAGGTCACAAAGCCCCCAGGAAGGAGAGGCTACGTCCTCAGAGGCAAGGATTCTGGGAGCTGCTTGGGCTGGAGCTGGGCTTAGGTGCTCACCGGAGGCTTGGAGGAGACTATAGCTCTCTTCATCATGGTGAGACTTGTCCACGTGGCGTGCTGGGACACATAGGATAAGGGGGTCTTAGATTCTGCCCCGATCTGTTGGACCCAGCCAGGCACAAGCTTGTCTGCTATGTCTGCAGCCTTTGGGAATGGAAGCAGGAAAGGGTGGGCTGTGGGACGAGGGCAGAGGTAGGCAGGAGATGATGTTTCGCTGATTGTTCATATCCATTTCCCACACCCCATCTGCCCTGGAAAGCAATTTGCACTGCGCTGGTGTGAACAGTGTCTGTTCTCTGGGTTAAAGAGTGTGTGTGACTTTATGTTCCTCCGACTGTAGAGCAAAGAGCACGGGCTTCAGATGCAGTCCAGCTCAGCTACTGACTGGCAGGGTCACTCGTGGCCTGCCAGGTCCCTACTTCCTCGCACGGTAGAGGTAGTGAGCCTCAGCTCGCCCAAGGAAAGATAATGGAGACAGTGACATCCACCTGGCCTACTTCATAGGTGGTCATGAGCCCTGGTGAGATGGTGGAGGTAAAAGACCTTGAACGGTATAAGGCACCGTGTGTCGTCCCCAGCCCAGGCTGGTTATGGACTGGCGTGTGGAGACGAGGCGCAGGAAGGGGAAAGTCCCCCTGGTTTTGTCCCTTGCAGACAGCACTCCCACCACAGTGGCCTTGCTTTGGGGAAGGGGCTGGAATCGGGATCCATGTCACTGATTAATAGCCTTCATCAAATTAAGGAAGATTCTTCCTATTCTTAGTTTTTTTTAAAAAATATTTTATTTATTTATTTGACAGAGAGAGACACAGCGAGAGAGGGAACACAAGCAGGGGGAGTGGGAGAGGGAGAAGCAGTCTTCCCGCTGAGCAGGGAGCCCGATGCGGGGCTCGATCCCAGGACCCTGGGATCATGACCTGAGCCGAAGGCAGACGCTTAACAACTGAGCCACCCAGGCACCCCGTTTTAAAAGTATTTTTAAATTAGGAATTACTGCTGGGTTTTTAAAAATGGTTTTTGTATTAATTGAGGTGATCACATGTGGTGCATGACCATAACTGATTTCCTGAAGTTTAACTACTGCAACACCCTAAGTGATGCCGGTGCACAGACTCAACAACGTATCACCCTGCGTCGTTGTTTTTGTGCCCTCTGCTTCCATTACCTTTGGCATCTTTAGATCTGACAAAGTGCCCGCCAGTGCACCTGCCAAGCGTGTTTCATTCTCTCCACAACCCTTAGGATAGAAAAGATTACCATCCCCATTTTACAGATGGAGACAGAGAGGCCCAGAGAAGTTAGAGGATCTGTCCATGATGGACAGTGGAGGGGTTGGTACAGGGACCGTCTTGCTGGCTTCATTTAGTGCCCTTGTTGGCTCTCCTCATCTCCCTGACCCTCCCCCGTTCTGGGCTGCCTCCACCCCACAGTGTGAGGAGGTAGAGGTGACCGTGCAGAAACCCACGCAGAGCCTGAGGCACAGCAAGGAGGAGCTGAACAGGCTTAACCAGGCCATCCAGCAGCTGACTGCGGAGGTGGACAGCGCTAAGAGTCAGGTGAGGGGTGGCTGCGTGGGGGGCGCACCAGTGAGGGAGGAATGGGGGGAGGGTGTCCATTATCATGTGACAACTAGACTGGTCAGCCGCCCTCCTCTGGAATAGATGGATAGAATGTCTCCTTGTGAGTGTCTGAGCAAACGGAAGTGTGGCTGTGTGTGTGCATCATGCTGCATTTGCCTAGGACTCTGTCTTTCGTGTGGGCAAGTAATTAAGAGGTAGGTAAATATGTATAACTATGTATGCTTGTTTGCAAATCACTTTTTATGTGTATGTGCATTTTTGCTATCTGTGTGTTATGTTTGTCCTACGTAGCATTAAACTTGAGCCCACCTTTAGAAATTGCAAGATTTTACCTAGAAATCCAGTTTTCTGGGTTCTCTTTAAAAATGTGCAGATTTGGCAACATTTTGGCTAGAGAAGAGAGGCCTCTGCCTTCTCTGTCGCCTTCACACAGGGTCGTGCTCCTTTTGTGGGCCCCAGACCCCACCGCCCCAAGTTCCATCCTTTGACACAGAAGCGGAGGGCTCTTTGCCATTGATCATCATCTTGGCCGGCCCTGTTGTTATCCTTGTGGAAGACAAAAGGCACCTGACCCATGTCTCTAAGTTAGAGAAGTGAGAGACTGAAAACGTGCAAGAGGTCCCGGTGATTGCAAGAGAATGAGAATGTGCATACTTCTTTCTGGAACTGGATACTATTGATATATAGCTGACATTTGGCCTTTACCTTTTGATGCCTCCAGCCAGGCCTCTGTAGGCATTCAGATTTGCAGCTCAGGCTCTAGGCCTTAGAAAGGAGAGGTTCCCACATGAATGCTTTCTTTTCCCCACTTCTCTGCCTCTCAACCTCCTCTCTTCCCTCTAAGCCGCCCTGGTGAGCCCCCGGGCTCATGCTCTACCTGCAGAGGAAAGGGCATCTGCTCCCTGTTTTTTCCCTGCTTTCTGCAGGTGCAAGTGTCTCAGGCTCGGAGGGCTTCGCCCTTCTTTAGGAACTGATGGCTATGAGGAGGAGCAAGCTGTTCAGGTTCCAGGGGGTGGCACAGTGAATTGGTGTCCCTGTCACGGTTCAGTCTCCTGCCCGCCTCAGCTGTGTTGATACCCACCCCTCTCACCCCAGTTCCCTAAGCAGCAAGCGTTTATCATCATCATCACCATCATCATCATCGCTGTATTTCCGCAGAGACTATAGATGCTAGTTTCCTTTGAGGAAAGGATATTCTTCCAGTTCATTCTCCTGATGGAACAATAATCCCAGCATGATGTGCTCAGGAGCATTTGATGCTCCCTGGATCGTAGCTCCTATTGGAAGAGTCACATACTAGATGTGACAGGCTCTCTCTCAGCCAGCCTGGGCTGGCCCTAAGTCTCCATCCTGGGAGCCGAGCAGACACACACCGTATTTTTTGGAACAGGCAGGCCCTTTCCTCAATGATCTCTACTCCCTCACTGGCCCTCTGAGAAAGGTCTGGATCCTTGAAGCGGGGGAGGGTGGGAGCCAAGGATGTCCTGTCCGTGGTCTTCCCTTTGCCCCCAGCCCTGTGAACTAGACAGAGCCACGGAGCCACCAGCTCAGCAGGAGGAGGGTGCCTCAGACAGCGCCCAGGGCAAGCTGGCCTGGTTGGAGGCCACCCTGCAGCGAGCCAAGCACGACATGGCGCGCCAGCTGCGTGAGTACCAGGATCTCATGATCGTCAAGCTGGGCCTGGACTTTGAGATCGCCACCTACTGCAAGCTGCTGGAGGGCGAGGAGAGCAGGTGAGGGCTGGGCGGTGCCTTGGATGTGGCCATGGTGAGGAGTGCAGGGGTGCAGGGAGGTCACTATCTGGGTCTTCACCAGCTGGAGAGGGGTGGGGAGAGATGACCTGGGTATCCAGGGACTTGTTCTCCTGGAGCAGGTTTCTCCTCACCAGCTTGAGGCCCTTTAGACAAAACGTTCCAGCTGATGAGCACCTTTGGCACGTGGGATGGGACAACTTGTGAAGTCATTCACCTGCAGGGGCAGAGAGCTGGGGTCACTCTGTCCATTGAGACAGCTGCAGGGACCAAGGCCCAGCCAGGGGGGATAAGGTCCCCCATGTACAGTGCCTTCTCCTCAGTTCTGCCCTTCTCCCCCAGGCCTGGGGAAGGCAGGGTTTATGGGAATAGGTAAGGCCTGGCTTTTAACCTTAGACAGTAGAGATCCAAGGACTGTTAGCTCCAGCTGGGTACCCCAGGCCGAGGGGAGGGAAAGGGAGCCCACTATGCAACAGGCAGGCTGCATTTATTCTCTCCTTTCAATCCCACAACACCCTCGGGAGAGAGGTGCTGTCAATCCCATTTTACAGATGGGGAAACTGAGTCTCAGGGTAAAGGACCGCTTCAAGGACACACAGGTAGAAAGTGCCTGGGTGAGGCTTGACCAATACTCTTCAGATAGTTGAGCTATTTCCTCTGTGGTGTCCTTTGAAATGCCCCCTTTAAAAGGCTAAGTTTAGGCCAAAGAAAGCATAGATCTTAGCCTTCTTGAGAACTCCTCCAGGAAGTTAGCAATAAAACTGAGCTATCTGAGTGTAAGGAGGAAGGATTGAGTTTAAGGTCCAGAGGAGTCTCATGCAAAAGGGCTGTGGGGATCTGAGAGAACCAGACAGACAGATCTCTGCCTGTGGGGGAAAGCCAGGAGAGTTTTGTTTTGGAGAATGGGGATTATTATACCCAGGAGGTATATTCACTCACCTGCTTCCTCCTTCTCCCCTGCAGGCTTGGTCTGGGATTTGGGGCAGGGAACTTCTGTAAGTAAATAATAGACCTAGTTTGGGTTAGAGGAGTCAAACCTTATCCCCTCTCCTTTGGGTGTATTCTTTTTGGGAAGGGAGAAGGGCTCTGCTTCCACTGTGTCTCCCTTTTTTGGGGAGACTCTTTCTTCTCGTGGGGGTAATTCTTTGTGTGTGTTGGGGGAGGATGTCTTGTGGTCTGTCCTTTTTGGGGAGGTTCTGTTGGTTTGTCCTGGGGTGTGGGAGGAGGTTCTGTGGGGTCTGTCCTTGTGGAAGAGACTGTTTCATTCTCGCGTGGGGAGAATCTGTGTGTCCGACTGCAGGGAGGGGGCATTCTTGAGTCCGTTTCTTGGGGGAAGAGGTCTGTGTATCATTACTTTGGGGAGTTCGCACCCGTCTGGGGGGAGGAGGAGGGTCTTTGCATTTGCCCTCTGGGAGAGGAGTCTGTCTGTCTGCCTTCCGGGGCGGAGCGGCTCTCTCCGACAGCCACTGTCCTCTCAGCCCTGGGCAGCGCTCCCCACGGCGGGCTCGGCTCAGCCTCTGGCCCCGCCCGCCTGCCGCCTCCCGGAGCGGGCTCCAGCGCCCTGGAGACGAGCGCCCCTGGCGGCGGCTGCGCGCTCTGCGGCTCCTCCGGCTGCTTGGGCGGCTTCGGCTGCGGTGGCGCCCGCGGATGTTGAACATTCCTGCCCAGCTCCAGAGAAGTCAGAGACCCCTAGCTCCTGCCCCAAGGACTTGACCCTCTGCCTCAGACGCCCCCTCCCACCTGGCCTCAATTCATCTTTCCCTCTTGCTCCCCCCACCCCCCACCCCGGAGCGTAAAGTCTTGGAATCTCGCTTACCGGGTGGTGACTGCCCTGTCCCCTGCGTGAAGGTAGCCGGGACGCTGTGCCACTGGGGGAGGCCTGGTGGCTTACCTGGACACAGTACCCTGCTCCTCTGACCTGCCGCCCACTCCTCTTTCCCTGAGACTCCTCCTTTGCAATAAAAAGTTCTTCAGTGGACTGAACCCCCTGGGGCTGTTTGTGCCTGGATGCCTCAAGCTGTGTCCAGACACAGACGAAGCTGGGAGGGGGTTTGGGGGGAGGGGAGAAAAGGAGGGGACACTACCAGGAAGCAACCCTCCCCCTGTGGCGTGTGGGTCCACGTGACTTCAGTTGGCAGTGATATCACAGAACCAAGATCCTAAGGGTTGGTGGTGGTAGGGGTGGGCAACTGTGGGCCCCTGGGGAAAGAAAGTGAAAGAAGGGGTAATTCCTCCTCAGATCTGCTTATTCCCAGCCTCAGCCCACTCCCCCCGCGGAGCACTGCCTTCATTCACCCCTACACTGGCTCTATAGACACTTACAGAATGGCCTCTGAGGGTCAGGTGTAGCGCTGAGTCAACAAGGCACTCTGGTTCTGGAAGGGAGGCAGGCCAGAAACCAGGAAAGCAGCCCAAAAGAGAATGGAGTGAGATGCGGATGAGAGCGAACCATTCTCTAGTGCCCTGGCAAGGGCACTTGAGCACGGGCCCTGGGGAAGATGGCCCTTGCAGATTGGGGCTGGGGAATATGAATATTGGGTGGCCCAGGCCTGGGTTCTAGTTTAACCAGTGACCTGATGGCGGGCTGGGAACAACATTACCTTGGTGGAAGAGGGCGTGTCTTTGGAATCAGATGGAGGGTTCCAGCTCTGCCTCTTACTTCTAGGTCTAAGGTGTGGTTTGCTCTGAGTTTTCACAAGGCAACTGGACTCGGGGGGCGGGGGCGGAAGATAGGCCAACTTGGGGGGTGGGGTGGCCAGAGAAGGGCTGGGTTTCTGGGCTTTCTTTGCCCCATAGGCCCAAGAGAAGCTTCCATTCGGTGAACTCACATTCTTTTCTGTTGCACAAAGGGTTACATCATCAGCACATCTGGGAACAATGGTTTCTGCTTTCTCTGTCCCTGGGTGGGGTTAAGGTGTGTTACTGGCCAGAGGCCCTGGCTTTACCTTTTAAGGTACAGTAGTGCCAGGGTGTCTGCTGTGTTCTCCTGGGTCGTTGCCCAGAAAACAGGTCTCCAAAAGGCCCCCTTCCTGGGTAAACAGAGCAGTCTCATGCAAGAGGAATGAGACCGAAACTTGCCTGGAAGGCTGCCTCCCAACCTGAGGGGTAGGGGACGTGGACCTACTTGAGTCCCATTTGGTCAACACGGATCGACACCGACGGTGTCAACATTCTTACCATACTCACTGCCTGAAAGCAGAGCCACCCTTCTGCGAGATTTCTCAGTTGGGCTCCATGTTCCCTGCATTTTGCCAAGAGGTAATGACAGTCTATGCTTTTCAAGGTCAGGGTTTCCCAGCTGCTGTGCTGATCAGGTCAAAGGAAGTGCTGAAGGAAATATCACCAGCAGCTGTTGGCAGGATTTATGGTGAGCATTCTGCAGCCTACATCACCGAGGACTGGCTGCTCACGTTTTCCCATCTCAAATCCCAAGCCTGATGTCCCCTCGGATCCCAAGGGCTGCCAGGTCGGGCTTGTGTGTCTTGTGTGGGCCACCAGCCATGTTTGCGGTTTGGGAACCGATTCTCTGAGTGGCTCCCTTGGCCACGGGCCACATTCCATGCTGGGGCGGGAAAGAACTGTCTGGTGCATTTATAGAGAGTCATTTACCAGCCTATTTAGAAGCTTTGTTAGTGGAGGTGACTTCTGAAAGGAGGCGGATTGTCACCCGTTGAGTCATCACATCTCAGGAGAAGCGGGGACCACTAGGGGTCAGTCTTCTGTTGGCTCCTCAGGGCTGCCTCACACTTAATAGCCCCGAAACATGACAGATGTAACTTAGCTGTGTGGGCATCTCCATATGAAGCCCTCAAGACCGGTGACTGTCCTGGTCACCCATCGCCAGGGCCTGCCATGTGGTAGATATGAACTGGTTGAGCAAGGCTCTATGTTTGGTCCACTCTGTCCTTGGATGCACTGGGTCGTTCTTCCACCATTAATGTGTCTCACCTCACAGAAACCCCTTGGGAGTCTCTTGATGAGTCTAAATGCAATCCTACCTGATGTAATTCCAGCTGCAGTGTATCAGCCAGGCCAGCCTGGAGGAAGGAAAGAAGGGTCTGGATTCTGTTGCCAGTCTTGCTGTTATCCTGGCCACATGCTGCCTGTTTCTGAACCTCAGTCCTGCCCTCCCCAAATCTAACTGGTGAAGATTCATTTATCCCTCTTAGTTTTCCTCCCTACTTGACCTCTCTGCACCATGGTTTACCCGTAAAATACGAATGTACCTGTCACAGGGTTGTGTGGAAAAATATATTGCTATATGTAAAGTGCTTAAAACATAGTAGGAATTACTTAAATGTAATTAATATCTCCTGTACAGGGCTTTGGGCACCTTTACAGAAGGCTCTACAAGTCTAAAGCCGGCTGGTCTCTTGCTGCCCCAGGTGGAACTAGGGAGTCTACAGGGCAGGAGGGGAGCTGGGGAACCCACTGGCTAGATCTGGCACCTCCGGGGCACCTCCCCAGTGTGATAACTGGCGGCACCTCCCTCACCACTCCGCCTTAGTCCAGTTCTCCATCTGGGATCACCCCCTCCTCCCCCACCAGCACGAGTCCACCTGTGCGCTCCCACTGCAGTCCTATCCACGTGTACCCACAAAACTCACCTCTTCGGTCCATACATACAGGCATATGCACATTCACACACAAAATGACACATCTAGAAAGGCTCACAAGTCACACACACACACACACACACACACGTGCTGCCCCACAGATACCCAGAGTTGTGCGTATACCTGGAGGCAATCATACTGTTCTCCTCACAGCTGCCCACAGACAGTGAGCTACACGGAATCGAGGTACAGACAGCATGCGCCCAGCACAGCTGCATGGACTCCCCACTTTCCTCTAGCTCCTAGTCCTGTGCTACCTCTTCTGAAGACTGACAGAGCTCTAAATGGGCAAAGGACCTTAGCAGCCATCTTATCTAAACATTTTATTTCACTAGTGAATGCACGGAGGCCCAGAGAGGGTAGGTGACTTGTTAAAGGTCACACAGTGAGGTGTTCCCTTTTTTTCACCATTCGGCATCATGAGTATAATGTGCTTGATTCATTCACTCTTGCTTCTCTTCCTGAGCCTCTCCAGGAGTGGGAACTAGAGGGAGGTGAGGACTGTGCTCTTGGAGTAGGACAAAGCCGAAAGTTAGAGCTGGAGGGAGGCTGAGAGTAAGTTCGGCAGGTCATTAGGGCCCAGCTGGGCTGATGAGACCTGTGGGATAGGAAGAGAGGGGTCAGTTGGCAGAATTGAGAAGTTCATTGGGACTGGAGTTGTGGGTGGCTTCTGAACTGAGGGATAGAGTGACAGAGCTGGGGTTTGGGCCTCAGGTCTGGACTCCTGATGGCCTGCTTCTGAGCTGTGTGGTGTCACAGCACAGAGGGCTTGTTGGAACAATTGCACACTCTGGAACTCTTCTAGAATTCTGCCCTGCTCAGAATTCCATCAGGAGGGGAGAGGGGCCATATTGGTGGATGGGAGGCCTTGGATTGATCTTCTCCCTTAAAAGAGCATGTTCTTTTCAGACCACTCGCTTCTGGTCTCTCAATATTCTTGTTTATTTCTACTGGCCTGAGGGATGGGGACTTAGATTTCTTTTACCATTTTCTGGGCCTGGGCCTGGAAGTTTAGAAATTGACCCTGCTGTATAAATGTATATTCAGGGACTTGCTTTGCCCATAGTGAAGCTGAGGGGCCATCTCCCCACTTTCTTTGCTCCTTGTAAGAGCCTCATCAGTGTCAAGGGGGAAACAGTTCTCTGCATGAAGGAGCTCAATGGCTCTAGAAGATGTGGAGATTTCTCTATTTGCTATCTCTGATCACAGATATAAGTATAATATGATATAAATGTGTAAATGTAATCAGTTTACAGATGTTCATGGGAGGCTGGCCATGGCCTTGCTCCCTGGAGGGATTTCCACTTTATATTCTGCCAAAGTACACTGCTAATGGCAAGTGCATATCATGGTTATTTTGTGGCAGGGATTGTCTAAGCATGTTATGTGTATGAAATTCCTAGTCCTCCTATCTGCCCTAGGAGGTGGGTGCTTTTTTATCATTCTCACTTTAGAGATGTAGAAATGGAGGCACAGAGAGGACAAGTAAATTGCCCAAGGTCACTCAGCCAGGAAGGAACAGAGCCCAGTTTTAGACCCAGGTAATCTGGCTCCAGAGTCTATGTGCTCACCTCCGTGCCACCTCATTTCCTTGCTGTGTGCTGTTTCCTATTTTGGAGGTAATTTATCAGCTATGGCAGGTCTCCAAACCCCAAAAGGACTCCATTAAAAGAAAAAAAAAAGTAGCCACATCAAAGGCTTTTTGAAAGTTTAAATCGTGTTCATGTATTTACCCTTTAAGGAATTCTCATAAATTGCTCAGGCATGAGTCTTCCCCAGCAAAGCAATGAGTGGTGTTTCCTTAAGCTTTGAGTGGCTGGTGAATCTAATTTTTGTTATCCATCAGTTTACAGATATGCACAGGATGTTTTCTGGGAGGCAACTGTGGGTTAGTGAAATGACCACGAGTGGTGCATACAGGGTTCAAACACGAGCCAGACACTGAAACTTGTGGGGCACTGGCCCAGTTACTGAGCATCTCTGGCTTCTTCATCTTCAAGATGTATCATGGTGGATAAGATCATTACAGTTGTGTGCA